CGTGCTGCGGACCTCATGGGTCCCCCGGGCGCAGATCCGCTCCAAGCCACCCGAACACCCGCTCTCTGCTGCTGTGAGTAGCTTGTGGGGGGCTGAAGGAGAGGGGGGTAGAGCCTCCTGCTCCCAGGGGACGCCTTGGTCAGAGGGGCACAAACCCCCCCTGCATTGGGGCCAAATTGTTGTCGTTGGGAGCGACAGCAAAAGGGGAAGGGGAGGAAAGGAGGAAAGGTGCCCCCAGAGCAGTGCAAGCTCCTGACTGGCACCCCCACGGTGGGTACATGCCCTGGTCCCCCCCTTCAGGGTCCTGCTTCTATTTTATGCCACCCTTTCAGCCCCTTTTTTAACCTTTGAGGGTCAGGGAACCTGCTGAGGGTCCCCTGCAGCCCCGGGTGCCCCGCAGGGAAGCTCAGCCATGGGGCAGCCCAAGGAGCTCAGGGAGGAGGCAGCAGTGGCACTGGCAGTCCCTCACAGAGCGGGGCAGACCTGGTCCCTGCGTCCCCCCTCCCTTCATGGGACACTCACCCCAAAGCAGGTGCCCCCGTGGGCAAGAGTCATCGCAGAGCCAGAGCATGCGGGTCCCTCCGTTGTTCCTCCTCCTCCCCACCAAAACAGGAGCCGCTCCAGCTGCGGAGACCCTCTTGGGCTGGGTGAAATGAGCTTGGAAAAAGGTTTTCCACCAGAAATCCTGGCCGAATTTCACCTCCACCCCTTGCTTGTGGTGTTACCCCCCGCTGACTTTCCAAGCTCTGCAACAAAGCACTTCAAGAGCCTGCAGACTCTTTTTCTGGCCAAATTAAAAAAGAAATAAAGGTGCAAGGGGTTAAGTGCTGCCCTGGTGCACCCAAAATATAAGAGGCCGCTGCTGGCTGCAATTCACACCTCAAAGGCATTTGAAAGTCAGGCACAGCTGCTGCTGGAGCACCGCGAGCCCAAGCCTGGCAGCTGACTGAAGGTCACAAGCTGCTCTGGTTTCCCGGTGACTATCACGACAGAGAAACACCGAGCGATGGAAACAAACCCAGAGAGCAACCAGCTTGGTCTGCTGTCGTGGAAGCTGCTGTGCTGACCCAAATCTCCCTCCCACAGCCCCAAGGTGTGTCCGTCCGACAGCCGCGGGGCTGGCAAGAGCGAGGAGCGCGGACAAGGGCACTTGATCCATCGCATTAGACGTGGCACCCCACCGACGCGGCCATGGTGCAGCCACCCCACCACCCCACTAATTCTTCTCCTTCTTCTCCCGCCGGCAGGAGCAAGCCATCGCGTTGGCCGTGATGTCCACGTGCTTGCTGCTGCCCACGGCCTGGATCCTGGCGCACGTGGAGCACTACAAGAGCAGGTCGGATTAGGAACGGGCAAGAGCCGCCTGCACCCCCTCAAGAGCTGAAGCCCACGAGTGAGGACAAAGCCACGGAACAGACCGTCACCGGGAGGGAACCCTCTGAGTTTGTTCATTAAAGTTCCCGTTAGTGTTCAGTGTAACCGTGTGTTGGTTTTGCTTCGCCCACATGCTCGTTCGGAGGGGGATGGATCCGTAACCCTGCTCTGCTGGGCAGCACGCTGTCCGACGGCAGCATCCCTCCGTGAGGCCGCAGCAGGGAGGTAGATTTCCCACTCCAAAGCTTTTACTCTGTACGGTTGCGGCAAAGTGTAGGGCAGACACCAAGGCACCACCAGCCAGGAAGCAGAATCAGGTTAAACTCCTGGCAGGAAAATCCCCAAAGGCTGCTTCCTGCACGAAGAACCTCTCCCGCCCCCAAACACACCCCCCATTTCCTAAGTGGCCAGGCTGGCGGGGAAGTGGGCAGCCAGCACTCGCTTCCCACAGAGGAAGCCAACGCTTCCTGCATTTGCCGCACGGGAACTGGCCGATACCTCCAGGTATCGCAGAAAAACCTCGGGAGCAACTGCCGTAACCCTCAGGCTGCAGGTCCGCTCGCTCGCGGCGCTGCGCCGCTCAGGAACGTGCCCCCACTCCCCACAGCACAAGGGGGTGTCGGACACTCGGTGCCTCTCAGCAGCAGCCGTCAGGACTCCGGTGCTCGCCTGAAGCGACAGCAGCCCCACGACACGTTGGCTCTGCCGCACGGTCGGCGCTTCGCTTACCCCTAACACGCAGTGACGTGACAGCACCGAGGCGATCGCGCTTCTCAAAGCCTTTTTCCTGTCCTTAGCTGTGAACTAAACGTTTTCCCTCTCTCATCTCCTCTGCGTGCTCTTCTGAAGTCAGTAAAAGCGACGTCAGGAGTGAGCTTTGGCAGACGAGACGAACGGGGGAAAGTCAAGCTGCCCCACACAGGAAGGGGAAACGCGGCTCAGGCACGCTCCACCAGCTGAACGGCCGAGCGCAGCGATCGAACCCGTGGGCTGGCCCGGGAGGGGGCAGGCAGAACCGCACAACTCCAAACCAGCCAGAGATTTTGGCCAGAACCAGTCAGGGAGGAGAAGGGTGGAGGGTGACCAGGTAGAGGGTCCAAACTTTTGAGGTTTTTGTTTTTAAAAACCTCAAGTCTCCCTTACCGAGGCCTTGGCACCTGCAGAGCAGTCTGGCGTCAGCCAAGGGCTTTCTTTTTTCTGTTGCTGCATTAAACCCTCAGAGCCAAGACAGCAAGCTAGAAGAGTCACACGAAGTATAAAAATCCCGGCAGCACAGTTTGTGAGTGACGCCAGAGAATCAAACTGGTACCTGGAGCTCTGGAATCGCAGCAGGAACCAAACCGGGCGGTGAGGCAAGCGCTGACCACGGGCACGTTGGCAGCAGCCTTTGAAAATCCACCCGCACGCCGAGGACTTGGCCAGGCACGCGGCCCTGACTCCGTTCGGCGTCAAGTCCCTTGCTGCAGTTTGCTGTTCCTGCCCCGGAATTTGCTGTTCCTGCCCCGGAATCAGGAGCTTTACCCGTCCAAAGGGGCACTTGGAGGCAGCCCCAGCTCAGCGCCGCGTTTCCAGTTCTCGATGTGCACAATCACCTTCCATCGATTGCGTCACGGAGCTTCCGAGCAGCGGTTGTTGAGAGGCGAAAGCAGAACAAAAACTTGGCTCAGGCCTTGTTTAGGCTTTCTCAATCAGTAAGGCTCACCCAGCCCGAGAAGAGGCACCAGCTTCCCACCACAGAAAGGATCTCGACAAGAAAGCACGTACGAAGGTGCCACAGCAAATTACCAAGGTGCTCAGTAAGTTACCTACCGATGCCACCGGTGACTAACAGACCGTTTAGACCCGTGTTGTTCCTGGACAGAGGGGTTCTGTCACGTGAAACCTGAAAGGAAGCGTATTTTTAAACGGATCAGGGGCTCAACGCCAAGTTATGAGACGACACAGACAGAACTACGGAAAAGGGAAGGCAGAGGAGTTTATTCCAGCAGTACTGCTGCACCTCACTTCAGCACAAAGTGTTGTAAATGACAACCGCCCCCAAAAGTAGATAAAAACACGTCCACGAAACGGCAATCCCGGAAAAAACCCTTTGATGGAGTAAACCCTCCCTCTGCTGCAGGTGAGGAGGGGTTGTGGAGACAGAGGGCAAACGGAGAACGATGGTTTCAGCAATGCTGCCGCTGGGCCGCTGCAGGGGCAGGGGAGAGGTCCCCGGGGATGGCGGTGCCCTCGAAGGCCAACACCCCCAGGTAACACCACGGGGGACGGCGGGGCCCCCCAGCCCGGTCCCGGGGGGGAGCCTCCGCTGCCCCTTCACCCGCAAACGGCCCCCGCTCCCGCAAGACGCAACCGGCACCACGTCCTCCGACACCAGCCCGATGACCAGGCGACAAACCAGCCGCGGCGGAGCCTTCGTCCTCCTGCCCTGCCCCGGAGCGGGACGGGAGCCCCCGCGGCCGGGGCCACTCGCGTTCGCGCACAGGGAAGTCTTGACTCCAAGCACCAAAGGGTCACACAGCAAAAGGCCACGTACTCCTCGAACAAGCGTCAGAAAGCTGCTCTCCCCTCTGCCCACCCGCCCCCCTGCAATAGATGCGGTACAGAGTCAGTGGTCCGAGTGCTGCTGGCGGCGGCGGCGGCAGCAGAAGGTACTCTCCCCGGGGCAGCGCCAGGTCCTCTATGTGAGGATGTCGTGAGCTTGGTGCTCCACCAGCATCTCCATGCTCCTCACGTCCGTGCACCAGAACTCCAGGCGGTCTTTCATCCCTTTGATCTGCAAGGCAAGCCCGCAAGAACTTTACGGCCTCGACTACTGGAAATACCAACACTCACCGTTAAGGACGCACGCTCGAGTCCCAGACAGCTTCCCAAAGCCCCAGACATCTAGAAAAGATGCTGCTGCACATCTCTTACCGCCAAAACGGCAACGTTTAATGGGGATGCACAAAAGGGACGGTTTGCAGCTTGGGTTCCACGTACCGATTACTATGGTTTTTAGAGGTAAAGGCACCCAACGCAGTCTCCTAAAATGTTACGAGGATGAACTCGAGAAGCTCAGCACCTTCATCACCCTGAACCTCCCTCCTCCCAAGACACGAGTGCCCCCTACGACCCAGAAACTCCCCCACTTCGTTTCACACGTTCAGGCTGGGAGCAGCCACGCAGACGTCTGCGCCCTTCTGGAAAGCGCAGTCATAGCACTCGTGTTTTGAGGTGGTTCGTGTGGCTTTTGGAAGAGCAGCGCCACCCAAGTCCTGCTCCCTCTGCCGACAGGTTTAACCACCCACGGCAGCCCACGGACAAGACGCGCCACATACCCAAGGTAAGAGCTAAAGGCAGCAATGTCAAAACGAGCGAGGAAGAGCTGCTTTACGTCCTCCTCCCCCGAGCACCCTCGAGAAGCACCGCGGTCACCAATTCCCAGGCAGGGACCCTTCCCAGCTGTTATTTGCAGGTCACCACACACAAAGCAGGTCAGCACTGCCGCGACGCTCGGGCTGGTCGTTACCTGCTGTAAATCCAGCACCCGTGGCTGTACCCACGTCATGTGCACCCTCTTATCGACTTCGTCAATGCTGCCCTTCACCAGGCCCACCGAGAGCGCCTTCATCACCAGCAGTTCCACCTAAAGATAAAAACGACATCGTTCGAGGAAACAATCGAGAATGACCCAGTTTCCCCCAGGATGAACAAAACCTTTCAACGGCACCAGCTTGTGGAAGACGTTACTACACACGCCACAGCCGGGAGCAGCTGCAGCCCCTCTCGCACCCGCCCTCTCTTAGCTTTTAATTCTGCCTTGAGAATCGACAGCTAAATATACAGGAGGGACTTCTTTTCCCTAAGAGCAATTTCCTTCCCTTTCTCAGGAACTCCAGAAAGAAGGCGGCAATTGGAAAAGGTCAGCAGGGATTTACCACGGTGAGATGTGCCCGACCCACACGCCCGCCTTCGTAAATGCAATAACTTGCTCGGTGGCGGCAGAGCGCGCCGCTGGTGCCCTGTACCTTTCGTTTAGCAAAGGGCT